ATTTGTCTAACAATGTTTTTTCTTTGACTTTTCTTTTATATTCTGGTTTTGTAGTCAACTCTTCTTTCATTTTACAATAATTGAGTCATACTTAACAAATTATGATTAATATCAGGAATATATAAAATGTCAAAAATTAATTTCATACCCGAATGACTTTTAACTTGCAATTGTTCATGTACCTTTCACATCCATTTGTTCTCTATTATCAATTCTCAGGCATGGCAACGGGGCGGGGCGGGGGCAGGTTTTGCCTCCCCGATCCCCGCCCCCAACTTTTTTAACCATCCCCGTCCCCGATCCCCGCTGGAGTTAGAAATTAAGTCTCCATCCCCGTCCTCATTGGGTTTTGGGTTCCCCAATCCCGCCTTGTCCCCGATTTATATTATTTTTAAAAAGATAATTATATTTATAATAAATTAATTTTACTATCTATTTTATATATATATAAATAAATATTTATAATTTATATTTATTATTAATTAAATATACATTTTAATTTATTATATATTATATTAAAATATGTATGTAAAAGAAATATTTAATCGTTTTTTATTTATAATATTATTATTATTATAACAACTGTATTCAAATATTTGAATATTTATAACACTATTATTATAATACTGTATTCAAACATTTGATTATATATATAAGTTAATTCATTTTTAAGTTGTCATTTAAAAATATGAAATATATAGTTTATAAGGAAATATTTAATAAGTTAATTCTTATTCAATTAGTTCGAAGTAATAAATATTTAAATGATCAATTTCTTTAATCCTTTAAAATACAATTATTTTATTAAGATAAAATTTGATATATGATAAATAAGAATAATAAGATAAAAAAATATGACATAATAAAACCTAATAAATATAAATTATAAATAAAATAATATTAGTTACTACTAAGATTTATGTAAAATATTTAGAAAAAGATAAAGAATAAAAAAAATTAACTTTGTGTTCATCAAATTGGTTGAAAAGATTGAAAAAAAAAACAAATTGATGGGAGAGATTAAGGAAATGTGAAAAACTGAAAGGTAAGAGAAAGAATAATGTAATAAATTAATTGATATAAAAGATTAAAAAAGACAAAAAATTAAAAAGTGGGTAGAAGAAAAAAATTTGGTGAAATATAAAAAAATGACTTTATATGTAATAGAAAAAGAAAAAAAATACTTTTTAAATATTAATATTTTAAAATTTAAATTTAAATTTAAATATAAAGTTGGGGCGGGGACGGGGACGGGGACGGGGTGGATATTGCATTACACATCCCCGTCCCTGGTCAACTCGGGTTTTCCCCGTCAAACTCGGGGGGAGGGGGACGGGTCGGTCCCCACGGGGACGAGTTTAATTGCAATCCCTAATTCTTACCTTAGAAATAACAAATTCGTTAAGTTCTTTGAAAAGTTCTGAATCATGAGTCATGTAGTTTGTACAACCATTGTCTATAAGACAATCTGTTGATTTATTGATCGTAGAACATTGATGCAAGGAGAAGTTCCCCTTATACTCTATCCTCTATAATTTTGATGACTTCTTTTGGTTGTGATTTACATATCTTTTCTATATGTTCCAATTGACCACATTTGTGATATTTCACATCAAGCCTCCACCAACACTTGTTGTGTGGATGCTTATTTTTCTTGAAATAAGGACAGACAAAAAAGACACATAATTTGGTACCTTTGTTATTGTTGGTTTGGAGAGAACCTTCACCATGATATAGTAAAGAATTTTAAAAAAGAGCATGATCTCCTCTCATCAATCTTTGTCACTCTTATGCTTGTAAAACATGTAGTACTTCTATCAAAGTACTATTTAACAACTCATTTATGTTTTCCAACAAAGCAATAAATGTTTCATATCTCTCGCACAATTACCAGAATTTTCTCAAATATTTTAGAATCAGGAAATTCCTTACAAACAGTTTTATCTTGTTAGCAATACTCACCCAACAATTTAGTTGAGTATTCGTTAGTTGTCTCACACTTTTGTATTCTTTGTATCTCAAATTCTCTTATCAAGTTTAAAACTTTCATACCTCAAATTTTCTCATCCTTTCATATTGATCTTTCAAATAATCCCAAAATATTTTTGATGACTTTAGCGTCAAGATTCTGGTCAGGATCATTTGTGAAATACCAGCAAACAAATATGATGATTCTAGTGAAGATCATTTGTGAAATACCAACAAACAAACATAATTTAACTTTTGTCTTCCTCGTTTTTGTGTTTTTATTAAATTTAAATTTGAGTTATGGTGAGATTTTTAGGCAGCTGATCAACGATGTAATCTTCTTCCACAACTTCCCATACATCCAATTTTCAAGATAACATTACATTCTTATAGTCCATAAGTCATAATTTTTACCATCGAAAATTAAAACAACGACTTGTAAAAAACTTCTTTCTCCTTTCATTTTGTCATAAGAATCAAAACTCTAATACCACTAATGAGATTTTTTATATATGTAGGATAAAAATATGACAAAATATAAACTATTAATAATATATCAATTATAATTGACTAAATCAAAATAATAATCTAATATCTTTTTATCAAAGATAATAAAAATATTTTAATACCTAATCTAAATAAAAATTAGAATATCTCTAGCAATATTAAAATATTATCTATTAATAGTTGTAAAATAAATCATCCATATTATAATATGTAGATAAATATAATATTTATGAACTGATTTTGTAAAATTAAATTAGATACCTCATTATTTTTAAATAAATTTTTACTCTTAAAAGGTTGCAAGAAATATATATATATATATATATATATATATATATATATATAATACATTTAATTTTTTAATTCATTAAAAAGTTATAATTATTTGCGTTAAAATTTAATTTTATTTAAAACTTAATATCTTATCTAATAAAAAATATATTTTATAAAAAAATTGTGTTAGATTGATTTCAATTGTACACATTATTTTATTTTTTTCGAAAATATTTATAAGAAAAAATCAAAATGTATTTTTAAAATTATTTAAATAATAATTTTCATTTTACATGTGCAAACCTGTGGTTGTTTTTCATAATTAAAATAGCTTTGTAAAATTTGGTCCTAATTTAACCAATGAATATTTTGATATGTTCTTTTGAAAATGTAACTAACTTTAAATAAAATTTCTAAAAATATACAATTTTTAAAATTTAAATTATATTAATAAAATTAAATATAATTATTTATTAATAAAATAATACTTTTCTTTAAATATTGTTATTATTATTATTTTAAAAACATGTTATTTTATAATTAACTTGTTTAAAAATAATACTAGATTATTATTTTCAAATAATCTAATTTTAATTAAATAAAAAAATAAGTGGTTTAATTCTTGAAAATTAGTTTTGATAAAAAAGAATAAGGTAACTTTTTAATATATTTTTATTTATAAAATATATAATATGTATTTTTTTATCTTATATTAATTATGTCAATTTTAAATAATAATTATTTTTATTGTATTTATTTTAATTTTTAAAATAATTCATTTTATATCCTTTAATATATTTTATATTTATAATTTTGATTATAATTAAAGTGAATATAATAATATTTTTATTATTTATCTTTTATTTATAAAATTATATTGTTATTAATAAATTTATTTTATTATAAAAATATTATTTTATTATTAATGAATTTATTATATTATAAAAATATTATTTTATCATATTTGATTGAATTGGGTTAAGTTAAATCTTTAAATCCTGAAACAATAGTTTTATAAATTCAATTACCAATCCCATTTTAAAAACATCATACTTCATTTAGAAAAAGTTAACCAAATTCATTTTTAATTATTTTTTATAAAATAATAATAATAATAATATATAATAATAAAATTCAATTGCTATCATCATAATCCAAGCTCTTATAAGCTCATCCGTTCAAAAATTAAGATATTTCTATTCTTAAAATAATTTTCCATCCCAAACAATAAAAATAGATAATATATTGCATTCCTTTGATAACTTCATAAGAAGGAAGAAATATAGAAAAATATGAGACTCACATTTTTTTTTTTATAATTTATCTACTTTTGGATGAAATTGAAAACAAATAGATATTTTCACATCAATAAAAAATTCAAACTCTTTATTTATTATACCTTTCCATTAAAAAATGTCATTTTTATATAAATAGTTTCTTTCTTTCCACACGTTAAAAAATATTTTTTTTTAAATTTATTTTTATAAATAATTTACAAAATCATCGTTTTTATTTTCTCTTTCTTGCATTCCTTCCAAACCAAATATAACCTGTGCGGTCAACAGCCCCCCACCGATTAAGATTTCAGATGGATAAAAAAGATTTTGTTTCAAGAATAATTTTTTAAACTGATTCATATTTAAATAAATTTTATTTGAGTATAAGAAAAATATCTAACTTTTTACGATACATTTATCATTTATTTTCTATGGTTCAGGACAGCATTTCAAGATATTGTTATGAGTTTTCGATTGGTGTTTAAAATTCTTTTGCACATTAATTTTTAAAAAATTAATAATATTTATAAGAAACTAATCTAATTAAAATATTCTTACTTTCTTATTTTAATTATGAAATATTGTCCCACTTATAAGATTTTTTAATAAAGAAAGTGCTATATAAACAATTTTTTTTCTTAAACATTTATGCAATAACTTTTTTAGTTATAAATATAAAAATATAAATTTTTATTATGATTAAATGAATAAAAAGATGTTGGATTGTTTTTATTATAGATGTTGTCAATACAGTATTTAAAAAAAAGAAAAAATTGAAATGGCGAAAACAACCGCAGCACCTTTGTGGTGCCGGAGCCACAAATTCACGAGTCCCACTGAACGACAAAAACAAAAACTGGTGGCTACGACGCAAGAAATATCTTCTTCATCTGTCACCAACAACATCGCACAGCTTCCATGTCCATGTGTACTCAAACCACCCAATGAAGCATTAATTTGACAAACCCACGAGTCATGATCGCCTCCACCTCCAACATTGGAACTCATCCTCTGTGTTTTCTCTTCAAACCAGCCACACAGGCGACAACTGGGTTTCTTTCTCTTACACTCCACTCTCGAGGTATTGCTGTTGCACTGTCCTCGTCGTCAACTAGGACCACCCAGAGGCTCACGTGCCACTTCAACGGCAAAGATGGAAGCTTTGAGCAGCAAGAGGAAGAGGGTGAGCGTGAGGTGCTTTGTGACGTCCAAGTGGTATCGTGGAGGGAACGCAGAGTTCACGCCCAAATCACAGTCGATGCTGACACTGAATCCGTTTGGAATGCTCTCACTGATTATGAGCGTCTCGCTGATTTCATCCCAAATCTTGTATGGAGGTAATGCTAATGCTGATACTTCTATTCACATTCAACTTCAAAAAAGAAAAGTGTTTTTACTTTGTATTGGTGATGATTAAGTTAAAGGTACACTTTATATAAGGCACTTATATTTTTTGGTAGTGGGAGAATTCCTTGTCCATACCCAGGAAGGATATGGTTAGAGCAAAGGGGATTCCAAAGGGCTATGTATTGGCATATAGAAGCTCGTGTTGTCTTGGATCTTCGAGAAGTTTTCAATTCAGTAAGTATCTTTTAACACATACACTGTATGAAGTGGGCACTGTAGCCAGCCACTAGCCTTACTTGATTGGAAGAAATTGAAACTTTAGGGTGTGTTTGATTTCTCTTTTCAAAAACTGTTTTTATGTCTTCAAAATGGCTAGTGAATGAGGTCGTTGAGACAACTGGTTGATGATGGTAAAAGACAGAGAGCAGGAGAAGTTGAACATGATGAGAAGAGAAGAAGAGGAGGAAACATCTGCAAGCAATTTTTGTTTTTTCATGTTTTAAAACTTATTTTAGAAATAATTTTCAAAACTTATTAGATTCTGAATGAGAAATTGATTGAATAGTGTGGAATTGTTGTAGGAAACAATTTTAAAACCAGAAGTTGGGAAGAGAATCAAACAGAACCCTTAATCTTTCATACTCCAAACCATGTTGTCTCGTACAATTTGCTACATGAGCCTTACGCAAGATCATATGTAAAGAATAGTTTAGTTTCCATTAGCAGTGGTTGTGCTATTTTAGTTCACAGATTAGTCAGCCAATAGAAAAAAGTTAGAGAAGTGAATTATTTGTTAAATTAATACTGCTACATTTGTTCTTTCTAATTCTTCAGCAATGGGATCGAGAACTTCACTTTTCCATGGTTGACGGGGACTTTAAGAAGTTTGATGGCAAATGGTCCGTAAAATCTGGAACAAGGTATAAAATCTATTATTGAAGCCATTGTTTGCAAAGCAGCTTTGCATCAAACTAAAGATACTATGCGTGTATATTTAGCATGATATGTCATATCAATCTTAAACCATCCAACTCAGTTTGAATTTTGGTTCTGATTCTGATTAATGAAAGGCTTCGTTTTAGTTAAGCCTTCACCAACTTGCTGACTGATATACCGTTGATTAGAATTTTCTGGACTTCCTATGAGACACTGTTGGTTCGAGTACTTAACACTTGACCAAAAAGCATTTTTTTTTAAAATTGGAATAGAACGACTTTTATAAGCCTTTACATCACGAGGAAGTTGAAACTGAAACTACGTGCATGGCTACAAAATAGGTCACGCACACCTAAAGAATAGTTAACTGATAGACTAGTTCAACCCTAAGAAATAGGGGTTTATTTAGAATATGCCAAAAGAAAACTAACAATCCCTCCCTTAAGCTCTAGCTTCCTGCAGTAACATCCACTACTCCCAGCATTTGTCGAAGCTTCTCAAATTGTTCGAGTTTCACAGCCTTCGTCATTATATCAGCCACTTGTTCATGAGTATTGCAGTATTTCAATTGAACCACGTGATCATTTACCAAATCTCTGAGGAAGTAAAATCTCACTGCAATGTGCTTACTTCTTCCATGAAAGACAGGATTCTTGGATAATTGAATTGTAGAGTTGTTGTCACACAAGATATCAGTGGCTTTCTTTTCTTCTAACCCAAGATGCTCCAAAATTCTTCTAAGCCAAATGCATTGATAAGCACAAAATGCTGCAACAATATATTCAGCCTCAGTAGTAGATAAACTTACTACAGGCTGTTTTTTTGAAGCCCATGATACAACTACAGTTCCCATCATAAATACTGAACCAGAGGTGCTTTTTCTATCATCTAAGTCACCTGCATAGTTACTGTCACTGTAGGCTATGAGACTCATATTCTTTCCTTTTTGATAAAAAAGGCCGTACTCAATGGTGCCTTTTAGATACCTGAAGATTCGTTTTATTGCAGCCCAATGTGACTCCTTTGGATTAGCCATGTATCTGCTGAGTAGACTTACACCAAACATTAGGTCTGGCCGTGTGACTGTCAAGTACATAAGGCTGCCAATGGCTTGTTTAAACTTTGCAGCATCTACAGGAGCTCCTTCATCATCTTTAGACAATATAGTCCCTGGTACAATGGGATTTCGAACAAAGTTGTTGTCCATCATGTTGAACTGAGCTAGTACCTCACGTGCATACCGTCTTTGACAAATGAAAATTCCTGCCTCATTTTGTATTACTTCTATTTCCAGAAAATATCTCATTTTACCCAAGTCGGTCATGTCAAACTCCAGCTGCATTGAGCTTTTGAACTCTTCACATATATCTTTGCTATTTCCAGTAAAGATTAAATCATCAACATAGAGACTAACTATTAAAATATTACCATGAATCCTTTTCATGAACAAGGTGTATTCACTAGAGCATCGTTCAAACTTTTCTTTGACAAAGTAGGCTTCTATCTTACTGTACCATGCTCGTGGAGCTTGTTTAAGCCCATATAGAGCTTTCCTAAGTCTGTATACGTGGTCTTCTTTCCCTTTCTTGATAAAGCCAGCAGGTTGTTGAACGTACACCTCTTCTTGAAGTTCACCATGTAGGAACGCACTTTTGACATCGAGTTGAAATACTTCCCATTCACTTTCAACTCGCCACGCCTAGCAAAATTCTTACTCGTGTCAAGCCTAGCAACAGGAGCAAATACTTCGTATAGTTGATTCCGTATTTTTGGGCATAGCCTTTGGCCACTAATCCGGCTTTATACTTCTCTATCCGACCACGTTCATTGAGTTTGGTTTTGAATACCCATTTCACGCCAATGGGTGTAATACCGTTTGGAGGATCTACAAGTTCCCACGTGTTGTTCTTTGCAATGGCTTTCATCTCAGCATCCATTGCTTCTTTCCATTTCTGATTTGTGCAAGCTTCTTCAAAGGATTGAGGATCTTCATAATCGGTTGCCATCATCATTGCCAATAATTTCTCTTCTTCTGTAAATAGATTGGTCTCGTAGTCAGACATCCATAATGGTTGTCTCTGAATCCTGGTTGCCCTCCCTTCAGCTAGAGAATCAGTAGGTGTTGAATCTGAACTTAGCTCGAGTGCTTCAGAGTGATCATCGCTGGCTGTTATGTGTTGAGGTGCAGATCCCGCAGTTTCAATTTCTTCGACGTCTCTGTCTCCCCAATCAACAACAACAGTTGTACCTCCATCATCATTCACTTCCCAATTCCAACTTTTGTCTTCTTCAAACATCACATCTCTGCTTACAATGACTTTCTTTGTAATAGGATCAAAGAGTTTGTAAGCTTTTGTCTCATCACTTACACCCAAGAGAAAACATTTTTGACTTTTTGCATCTAGTTTGCTTCTCTTTTGATCTGGAATATGGACATGTGCAACACATCCAAAAGTTCGAAAGTAATCCACACGTGGCTTTACTCCACTCCACACTTCTTCTGGGGTTCCTTGATCTACTGCAGAGGTTGGACTTCGATTTTGGACATGAACACACCATCGCACTGCCTCAGGCCAGAAGGTTTTTGGCATTTGCTTGTCATGAAGCATTGCTCTTACTGCATTCATGATGGTGCGATTCTTTCGTTCTGCAACTCCATTTTGTTGAGGGGTGTAAGCAGCTGTCAATTGCCTTGTGATACCAAGATAATTACAGAAGTCTGAAAACTCCTTGGAATTGAATTCGCCACCTCTGTCAGTTCTTAAACAAGCAATGTGTGTGCCAGCTTCCTTTTCAACGCACGCTTTGAAGCTTTTGAATGCATTGAACGTTTCGGATTTTGCATGCAAGAAATAGATCCAAGTTTTACGAGTATAATCATCAATAAAACTTAGAAAGTACCTTTTACTGCTGTGTGAAGCCGGTGAAATGGGACCACATACGTCAGCATGAATTAATTGGAGTCTCCTTGATGCTCTCCATGAGCTTTGCTTTGGTATGACGTCTCTATGTTGTTTTCCCATGAGGCAAGTGGTGCACATAACCTTGGGAGTTTTCAAAGAGGGTAGACCAATTACCATTTCTTTATTTGCGAGTGTACTGAGTCCCTTATAATTGAGATGTCCAAAACGTTTATGCCATAACTGAGTTACCTTGTCTGAGACGTCTTCTGCTTGAAAGCACTGAGGATGTTGAGAGATCATTGAAGCTGATACATAGAACATTCTATTTCCTTTCATGTTAGTGTAAATGATCAATCCTTTATCTGGATGAAATATCTTACATGTATCATTTTGGATTAAAATAGCTAAACCTTTCTCTTGAAGTTGTCCTAGGCTTAAGAGATTGGTCTTAAGCTCTGGAACATAGTAAACCTCTGATATGACATGCGAAACATCATTGATTTGAACCCGAATACTACCTTTGGCAACAAGCTTCAGTGTTGTATCGTTTCCAAGTTTGACAGTCTTATTGAGCCCTTCTTCATGCATTTCCGTGAACCACTGCTTATTTCCAGTCATATGATTACTGCACCCGGAATCTAGAAACCAATCTTCCCTCCGGACAGATGATGTCATCTCTTCATATGCCACCAACAGAATCTCGTTTTCTTCCTGTGTAGCGTCCTCCAATGTTGAATAATGAGCCTGCTTCGCCACTTCAGGACATTCATATTGAAAATGGCCTAGTTTGTGACATTGAAAACACTCAATAAGTGCTTTATTGAATGGTTGTCTACCACGTCCTCTTCCCCTTCCACGACTCCCTCTGCCGCGACCACGACTCACTCCCCATCGTTCTTCATGAGTGACTTTCAGCACTTGTTCATCAGGTTGAAAGCTCTGCATTCTTTGCTCATGAACGATCAAACTGCCATGAAGTTCATCCAAACCGAGGGTACTTAAGTCGTTGGACTCCTCGATTGAACATACCACGTAGTTGAAATTTGGGGTTAGAGATCTAAGGATCTTGCTAACCACTGTACTCGAGTCCAATGATTCACCGTTCGTTTTCATTTTGTTAACTATACTGAGAGTGCGTCCCAGATAGCTGTCAATCTTCTCGCCATCTTTTATCGTCAACAGTTCGAACTCGCGGCGCAGTGCTTGGAGTTGAGCCTGTTTGACTCTTGTGGAGCCTTGGTATTTCTGCTGCATGGACCTCCATATCGCCTGTGACATGCTTTTGTCTAGTATTGTTTCAAGAATCTCTCGATCAATTGCCTGAAACAAGAAGTTTTTTACTTTCAAATCCTTTAGGTTTGTTTCAGCGACGCTCTTCCTCTGTGCCTCAGTGGGTGAAGCTCCAAGTGTTGGTATGCCATCTTCTATTAGTTGCCACAATTCCTTACTCGCGTAAAAGTTTTCCATGGTCATGGACCAGTAAATCAAAGTGGCCATCAAACCTTGGGATAGCTAGGTTGAACAAACTTTTCGATGTAGACATCTTTTCCTTCACACTCTCTACCAGATTTCTCTTCTCACTAGATCTGGATATTCTCACTTTGTTTGCTCACACACTCTGTACCAGATTTTCTTCACACTAAATCTGGATAGTTCTTCTCCTCACACGTAGCTCACTCACACACTGGATCAGGCCCCTTTCGGAGCTCTGATACCACTTGTTGGTTCGAGTACGTAACACTTGACCAAAAAGCATTTTTTTTAAAAATTGGAATAGAATGACTTTTATAAGCCTTTACATCACGAGGAAGTTGAAACTGAAACTACGTGCATGACTACAAAATAGGTCACGCACACCTAAAGAATAGTTAACTGACAGACTAGTTCAACCCTAAGAAATAGGGATTTATTTAGAATATGCCAAAAGAAAACTAACAGACACAATATAGTTTGGGTAATAATTCTTTCGAGTATAACACCATATCCATATGTTTTGAGTGTGCTCTTCTTTTGTATGGCTATTGAAGAAAAGACTTGCTACGCAGCATAAGTTATTGATATTCATTTGAAGAAATTTAAACACAAAACTGAACTGAGTTACAAATCCAAAAATCACGTAGTTGTGGCTTAAGGTGTAATAAACAGTTGACTTTTGAGAACTTATTAGAAGAAGGTATGTGGGAACTATGATAGTGCTAACCACATTTGGAATGAGATATTTAAGAAGGTTAGAAAGGTTGCTCTTGTACTCTTCGGTAAATTAAATGGTTTTGGATTGGGAGATAAGAAATCTTGATGGTGGAATGAAAATGTGTAAGGAAAAGGTAAGAAATAAAAGGGAGGGAGTATGGCTGCAATAACGATAAAAATTAGGTAAAGTACCATAGGGCTGGAAATGAGAGAAGACAAGCTGTGAGTGCGAGTGCGAGACATGATCCAAAATTTACCAGAGTTCTTACGAGAACTTGGGACAAAGATCACTGCATGAAAAGTATATGAACTTGCCAAAAAAAGGGTAAATAAATAAAGAGAATTGAAGCAAGATTTATTAATAATGAAGAGGGGAACTTTTTGTTTATAGATCAAGATATCAAAGAGAGATGGGAGAACTATTTTAATTAGCTTTTCAATGTTAGGCACATGTGGGAAGAGTAGATTGCCCAAGTTTTGGCCCTGTGAAAATTGGTAGAGGGAGGCCAAGCAGGAGTTTAGAAGAAACTATTAAAATAGAACTCATGATGGTAAATATCAGAGTAATTGGATTTTTACCAATTCCAATTATATCATGTGATCCATATAGCCCATTTTATCTAATGGTACAAGCTTGTTGTTGTTGCCATCGTCTTCTTTTGTATGACTTAAAATGTGTTGAAGTATACTTTTATGTTAGAAAGAGAATGAAATCACTTGGCTAACTTTCCATATGCAATAATTATGCTACCTGCTGCAATACAATCAAGCTTTTCCAATTGCCATCCTAAATTATTTCATCCACTATCTTCTCAATTCAAGTGGGTTTTTATGGGTAAGTATCTTCATTTGCTATTAACATGGGCTGTTCTTATTGGCATTAATCACATTGCCATATTACATTTCTAGTTTACACCAAATCTGGTTTATGCAGATCATCAACTGCTATTTTGTCGTATGAGGTTAATGTGATACCAAGATTCAATTTCCCAGCTATTTTTTTGGAAAGAATTATCAGATCTGATCTTCCTGTGAACCTTCGAGCTTTGGCATACAGAGCTGAAAAGAATTTTATGGGATATCAGAAACTTCCAGTATCGGAAAATCAGTTGCATAAAACTTATGTGGCCATTAACGGGTCATCTGTTAAAAAGATAAATGGTGCTTTGTTTGAAAGTGTTAAAAAGATAAATGGTGCTTTGTGTGAAAGTGATAAGTTGCCTCCTGCACAGAACAAAAGAGAAATTGCCTCCTCTGTTTCTGGTTCCATGCTCACATCTTCCAGTGAGGTGAGAAGCAACTGGGGTGTATTTGGAAAAGTTTGCAGGCTTGACAGACCGCGGATGGTGGATGAAGTTCATCTCCGCAGATTTGATGGACTTCTGGTAAATTAGATAAACTATTTATTATGATTTGACCTGGATTCTGACTATCACCTGCTTATATGGTAATCGGTAGTGCTTAGTAATCAAGTGATTTTGATATGAAGGAAAATGGAGGTGTTCATCGTTGTGTTGTTGCAAGCATTACCGTTAAAGCTCCTGTTCGGGAAGTATGGAATATTCTAACTGCCTATGAGACTCTTCCTGAGTAAGCTACTTATGCCGCTTCTTTACACTAGATGTAATAGAACATCTAGTAAGAGATTCCTTCATTCTTCTAACTTGATTCCACATAATTTATTGCAGAGTAGTTCCAAATCTAGCAATCAGTAAAGTTGTATCACGAGATAACAATAAAGTCCGTGTTCTTCAGGTATGGGACAATGCTAAAGAAGTAGGGTCTTCAAAAGATAACTTCATAGCTGTTTATATCCTGAATTTTTCTTAACAGCCAGTGCTTTGCCAAACAACCATCATTATCCGCAGTTGGTTAAACAAACATGAATCCCTTTAGCAGAAACACTGTTACAAGAATGGACATGTACTTCATTTTTATCTATAAATTATGTGATTTCCTGGTTTAATCAACATGCAGGAAGGGTGCAAGGGCCTACTTTATATGGTGCTTCATGCTCGCGTTGTGTTGGAATTGTGTGAATATTTAGAACAGGAGATCAGTTTTGAACAAGTTGAAGGGGACTTTGACTCGTTCCACGGAAAATGGATTTTTGAGCAACTAGGAAATCATCACACGCTGCTAAAGTACTCTGTGGAGTCAAAAATGCGCAAAGATACTTTCCTTTCTGAAGCCATCATGGAGGAGGTTTGTCTATTAATCCCTTCATCTATATATTTTCAGATTGCATTAAAATTTTCATGGCTTTTATTTTCCAACAGTGTAAAATCCTCCTATCCAGCTAAGAAAACCTTTTGATAGACACTGGAATGGAGCTCAGCTGTAAAAACACAGTTACTCATAAGTGAAATCCAGATAAATTTTTATATCCAACTGTCTTTTCATTCTTTTTTAATCTTCTGAAGGTATATCTGTCCAAACTACTCTCCATTTGAACCCTGCAATGTTTCATTCTTTTGCACAATGTCATTTCAGGTCATTTATGAAGATCTCCCATCAAACTTGTCTGCAATTAGAGACTATATTGAGAACAGGAATGCATCAAAATCTTCAGAATATAGTGAGCAGAATACAAATTCAGGGCAACAAATTGTTTCATCAGGCTTTCAAAATGATGACAACACTGGTTCAGCTGTGGAAGTTCCTAATTGTGATGCTCGATGTTCATCTCAGCAAAGACCTAAGGTGCCAGGCTTACAGAGGAATATTGAAGTACTAAAATCTGAACTCCTGCAATTCATTGCAGAACATGGACAGGAAGGATTCATGCCAATGAGGAAGCAACTTCGTTTGCATGGAAGAGTAGATATTGAGAAGGCTATAACTCGCATGGGTGGGTTCAGAAAGATTGCAACTGTATTGAACCTTTCTTTGGCTTACAAACACCGCAAACCAAAGGGTTACTGGGACAATCTTGAAAATTTACAGGAAGAGGTAGGCTGCAAAATTTCTTTCGTATCTCAGATACATTCATTTCCTTCTTCACTTTGTACCACTAAGCAATCTTGTTTACATCGCTGGAGAAATGCTTATGTTTAAATAGTCAATTCCTTTTATAAAATCTTCAGTGTAAGAAAATTGGCATATAAATGACATTATTGACATCTTGATCATAATGGAATCCATTTGTTCATGCAGATAAGTAGGTTTCAAAGGAGCTGGGGAATAGACCCTTCATTCATGCCAAGTAGAAAGTCATTTGAACGAGCAGGTAGGTTCATACATACCTAGAGTTTATGTCTGCAATAAACTATAGCTTTCTTTCAAGTCTATGAAAGAAAGATTGGTAGCTAAAACATGCAAACATCGATGTTACTAAAAACCAATGGCAGTGGATGACAATCATTTTTTACTTGGTACAATGAAATTTCCCACAGGGAGGTATGATATTGCGCGTGCTCTGGAGAAATGGGGTGGACTACATGAGGTTTCACGGCTTCTCTCTCTGAAGGTAAGACAAAGGAGCAGACATGACAACCATGGTAAGGATAAGAAGAGTGATCATACAGACAGTGAGATGAAGACGCCATGTATTTCACAAGACACACAAAAGTGGCTTACAAAACTAAAACAATTGGACATAAATTGGTTTGAGTAAATAGAGGAAGTGTATTAGTTTAGTGTGTGTGCTTGTAGTTATTGTTCAGTTCAATTATCCTCCACACCCGGTCTTACACATGCACTATGCTTATCCTCTTCAGTTATTATTCCATTCCAACTTCACACAGTTGGGGAGAAGAATGGACTCGGAATCAGGATACAATTATTTATACATTAAAAGCTATAAAATACTATTAAAAATAAATAATGCTGAAATTATATTATTTACATATTTAAATCTCATAATAAATACAATTACCTAATATATATTCAAAAATTAGATAATTTTTTTTAAAGAGCCTAACCTTACACATGCTTTTACATCGGGTCAGAGCCATATAAATATATATTAGCTCCATTTTTTTTATTAAAAAGTTGTCAGAATTAATTGTAAAATTTAAACATAATTTATTTTAGTTTGATTTTAATTAATATTTGAACGTGTAAAAAATGTACACAACTTTATGACAAGTTATATATTGTAAAGAAAAAAACTTAATCACAAATTGGTTCCTAAGTGTAAAAAAATATATTAAACAAAACATCTTAATAACAAAATATAATTGTTGCATTTTTACATGTTTGGTGATTAGATTGGAACTTTTATTCATTTATGATAAAATTATCGCTGATTTATCCATTTACGTTCTGTTTACTTCTATCCATTTACGTTCGGTTTGCTTATGTCGGATATGTCAGAGGAGAAAGTTGAGTTTTCAAAGGTTGAATTTTACATCGTAATCAATTATCTTAAAACATAATTGATTATACGATAATTTAAAAAATATTAAAAGAAATACGAATCCCTAATTAAAATTGATTTGTTATTTTGTGACCGTATTCTGTTATCAGTATTTTAGAACATGTTGATGTGTTATTTTCTGTTTTTTAATTTTGTTTTTTTCTTCATGATACAAAGAGTAGCTTGTATATATATCATACTGTCTCTTTCAATAAAGATAAAGAATACAATTTTTTCATCATCATTTCGGGTTTTTATAGTCTTTCTACATTTTTTGTTTCATTTTATGGTATCAGAACTCCACTTGGAGCTCGGTTGATCTCCTGTCAATATGTTTGACATTTTCGATGATGTTGACCAAACATGGTCTGATCCTTGTCTTGATCCCTCAAGTCTATATCATATTCACCGGAGTGAGAACCCATCTTCTGTTTCTATTTCTCCAGCACTAGATGGTAACAATACCATTCCTGATCCGATTCAATCAGAATGGCCTTGATATCTAAGAACAAGATAGGTTTCCTCACTGGAACCATACCTACACCAGATGTCCATAGCCCTTCCTATCCTTCTCTTGGTTATGTCTTGGCTGCTAAATTCCCTTTCACCACCCATTGCACAAAGTGTCATCTTTCTGGATTGTGCAGTAGACATTTGGACAGATCTCCGTGAATGTTTTTCTCAAAGTGATCTACTCTCCAAGAAGAAATATATGGTCTTAGGCAAGGTTCTCATTCTATTACAGATTATTTTACAGCACTCAAATTTGTGTGGGAACAACTTGATAATTTACGTCCATTTCCAAACTGCACTTGTTCTGCAAAATTGTATAATCTTTTTACCAAGGCAATAGGTTCCTCTTTTACAACTTTTAACTTATTATTCTGCTTGGCAATTCACTTGTTGAAATTGATCACCTCAAAACTTCTTTTGAGTTCTCATTTTCATATCCGAGACTTTGGCAAATTGAAGTATTTTTTGGGATTAGAGGTTGTTCACTCCTCTTCTGGCATTTCTCTCTGTCAGCGCAAATACTGTTTGGATTTAATCTTCGATGCTTCTCTTTCTAATTTTAAGTCTTGTTTTACACCACCCATGGATAAATTCACTGCATCTTCGTTAGGATTCTAATGCTTCTCTTAATGATCCTCTCCCTTATAGGCGCTTGGATGACCCGTTTAATTTATCTCACAAGTACTCGTCTAGATATTGTTTTCGCCACTCAACAACTTAGTCAGTACATGGTTGCACCTACTCTTACTCATTTTCAGGCTGTCATGCGAGTTATCCGTTATCTCAAACATGTCCTGCCATGGGCCTCTTCTTTAGTAGGTCGTCTTCCTTTCATTTACTTGGTTTTAGTGATGTTGATTGGGCTACATGCGTTAATACCTGTCGATCTATCACCGATTATTGTTTCTTTGTTGGAAGCTCTCTTGTATCTTGCAAAACAAAGAAACAATCTACTATATCTCGTTCCTTTATTGATGCTGAATATAGAGCCCTTGTGAGCTTCAATGACTGGTTTATTTACTTCGTGACTTGCAAGTCCCTTGTAACAAATGTCCTATACTATGATAATTAGAGTGCTCTTTACATTGGTACTAATCCTGTGTTTCACGAACGGACCAAACACTTAGAGATTGATTGTCATCTAGTTCGAGATAAACTCACTTTTGATTTAATGAAATTTCTTCCTGTTTCTTCTTCACATCAGCTCGCGGATATATTTACTAAAGATTTACCTCCTAAACTGTTTTAGTCAAATATCTTTAAGTTTGAGCTTCATGATTTGTTTGAACCTCCAGCTTGTTTGTGGGAACTAAAAGAAATATGAATCTTCAATTAAAATTAATTTATTATTTTGTAACCGTATTATATTATCAACCTTCTAGAATATGTTGAAGTGTTATTTTCTATTTTTCAAATTTATCTTTTTTTCCATGGTACAAAGTGTAGCTTTTATATATATCATACTGCCTCTTTCAATAAAGATAGAGAATACAATTTTTTCATCGGTAACATTTTTTTATTCATTTTAAATATATTTTTTATTATAAAAATTTAATAATAATAAATATATTGTTAAAAATTTAATTAATTATTTTATATTTATTTCTATTAAAATTTATTTTATTTTTCTAAATAAAATAATTTTTTTTTCATCTTTTCTTTATTTTTTTTTCAAATCCTCCTATTTATTATCAAATAAATAAAAAGACAAACTACCAAAATAATTAGAAATATATACGATGTGAATCGATTGTAATTAAATTCATCATCAATCCAATAAAAATCTTGAATTAAAGATTTTTTTATTTTTTTATTCAACCCAATCAAATCCAACTTATTCTTAATCGAATTGGATTGGGGTGAGGTAATTGAATAACAAATTTTCAAAAAATAATTTTTTTATTAAAATTTTAATATTTTTTTTAAAATAAACTAAACTATTTATTATCTAAACAATATAATAATCTAATATTTTAAAAAATATATTTATTTAATACAATAATTAAATAAATTAAATAATAAAAATATTATTATTTTATTATTAATGTTAAAAATCATTTAATAATTTTTATTTAGTGGATTGGACTGAATCTTGGTTGAATATACAAAATCTGTTATCAAATTTGAATTAAAATGCAGCAGATTTAATAAAACTTTGGATTGAATTGGATTTTCGATTTAATAAACACTGATTTATCCTATAGAATTAAGTAAGTTTACCATTTAACTGACTTAATACGTTTGAAAAGAAAAGAAAAATATAAGTTTGGAAAAAGATACTATGACACATAGTGACATAGTCTTTCAACACGATGTGTTACTCCACCATCTTGACGCTGTATTTGGAAAAAATAAATATTATTTTTATCAAATATTTTGATCAATTTAAAATAAAGAAATTTAAATTCCACGAACATAGAATTCCTCACTCGTACTCTACGCACCGGTCTGGAGCTTCTTGCTCTCCCTCTCTCCATTAAGAGCTCTCTTTCTCGCTCGCTGGTTCGTCTCTTTCTCTCTCTAATCACCATGCATTTCCTCTATCAGATCTAGGGTTATTTCAATTTGTGTTTCGTTTTATTCAATTGATTTGCATTTGGATGCTGATTTCATTTATTTTGTGCAACCTTCTATTTTGCTTTTATCGTCTTCTACTTTTTGTGCAACACGATTGATAGACCTATCTATGGGAGATTCAGTTCAATCAGTACTTAGTATATGTATGACTTGTGTCCTGCTTGAAGATGAAACTTTCACCTTTTGATCTGCTTTGGAGATGGAGTGCTGGCAGTGACTTAGTTCTCTGACAGATTAAAATACCATAGTTCGATATTTGAAGTTGGCAGTCATTGTAGGAACACTTACATTTCTGTAAATATGTACTGAAAGATGATCTCTATGATCTTGCTTAGATCCATATATAGTGAAAGGATCAATATTGTAAACATGCATCATGATCATGTGTAAGTTCTGGCCCCCCACAACCTAAGTTGACGAAGGAACAAGGGAAAACACAATCTGATAATGGTACCGTTGTTCTTTCCTCACCCCTGTTGGCATGTGGTGAACTTGTAGCTCTTAGGCAAATCCATTTACACCATCAATTGCTAACATTGGCCTTCTTCAGGTTAGATTCCATATTCCAATGACTTACTAGATGGGATCAGTTTGTAGAATACTATCGTGGCATTTGCAACCAAAAGCCACAATAATACTGAAGTCAAATTAAATTTCTTTTCTTTTTCTTAAAAAAAAAATTACGTTTTAAAATAAATCTTATTATTTGGAACTTTATGTATCATCACAAAAATGAGAAATCCACCCATTTCATTTGCATTTACCATTCTTGGATGTTATATAGCTGCCTTATGCATTAATGATATGTTAGTAATGTATTTTCACTCCTGGGTCTGGCTTGTTTGGGGTGGATTCTGCTTAGATACTATATCATAGGAACTTGTTTTTTTTAATGCAGGATTTGGTGTGTGGAGGACATAATGGAACTGAACCATTGTTTCATTCCATTATATCTTTGGATCTACCTTTTGGTAGAATAAAAATGTTTTAATCCTAACTTAAATTCACGAAAAAACAGAAAGGAACTCATCTTATGTTTCATCCCATCCCATTCTAGCATGTTTACCAAATGCCACTGAAATGTAAAACAACTAGGGTTTCTTTGGTAGATAGAGAGGAGGGGGAGGGAGAGAAATAGTTTGGTTGAGGGAAAAGAGGGGGACAATTAATTTTAAAAAATGATTGGACCCACTCTACTATTTCATACCTATCTCTACTTATTTCTATCTATCTCCTTATATTCTATAAAACTAATCAAAATTCACAGCTTTCAAAACACTTTCTCTCTATTTCTCACCTATTTCTATTCTAACAAATAACTAAACATTCAGAGATACAGAGCCAAGAAGAGGGATAGGGTATAGCAGGTTAGCTGCTATTTTGAAATTTATCATGTAGTTTATATAATCCATATTATATACAATACAAATTCTAAAAATTACTCAAAAAACAATGACATACTTAACAGTGAAACACCATAAGCGTCTTAAACAAAAATGCAACTGTAAGTAAATACTGAAAAATGTCAAATACAAGTTTGCAATATAGGAATCATCAATCAAAATGTACTAAATCCATGTCTTTTTATCAGTTTTTTTATAATTACAGTTGCAGATTTCATTTTTGGAAATGATAATACCAAAAATACCCCCTGAATAATATCTTTGTTCGGAGGGGACTTTTATGGAATCACATAGCACCACTGTGCAGCCCAATATTTGGTCCACTATGACTGTTACACTAAACTCGCCCACTAAGAATGGGCTGGGTGTTTGTATTCTGTTTTAAAATTCCCTCCCATTACCTATCAGCCCTTGAATATATAGCTGGTCATAAAGGATTAGCCCAAATATCTTTTAATTTTCTATTATATTGTAATCATATTTTCAGAAAAATGTAAATTTTTAAGAGTATGACATATTTATAGTAGGCTCCGTTGAATGTAGTGAAAAACTAAGTATAGAATTAATTCCCTTCTGTCTAAAATACACATAGGGTAATATATTTATAATTAAGAGTCATACAAGTAAATATGGTAAATACATATATTGTAACTAATAATATCTATAATATCTAGAATATCTAATAGGCTCCACCAATAGCTAATGCTTCTTTTAGGTATTAAATATTGATGTTTCTATATCATTTTTTTTTCAATTCATTTGTGCTGATGTGTATGAGCTTTTCAATATTGTAGAAACTTGGATTTGCACGCCGTTATGATTTTGCATAATTTTCAGTTTCTTTTGGGAACTAATTTTCTGATTTGTAATGTAATTATTTGTCAGATCTAAATTTCAAGTTATGTTATGCAGTTTGTTTAATGCTTATCTTCCTAGCTGTCTTAGATGGATAGACATTAGCCAATATGAAACTTCAGTTTGGTGGGATTTGTAAGGTTTGACAATTTGACTTGTTGGCTGAAATGGCAATAGTTTAGTCCCTGTTAACCATTGTCTTCCAAAAATGGCTTCCTGATTATAGGTCAGTCTGCTTGGGTGTAATTTTTTACTGCAAATCTTTTGTGCCGGGCGGTAGTGTTAATTTATTCTATCTAATTGTTTGATTTATGGCATTGGCTTTTGAGAGTGGATTGGGTTGGAAGTGAAATTTTGAATTCAAATTCCATAGGGTGTGATGTACCTCTATTTGAATAACAATTTGAACTATCTGACGCATACATAGTTGTCCCTTACTCAGACCCAGTAAGCAGGTTGTATATTTGCGACTTAGTGGAGTGGAATGTTTTGTAATCCTATTTCCTTCCTTGGTGAAAAGCATATTCATTGAAGTGGCAAGTTAGAAATTTTGAGCAAAACATATACAAGGGTGGGGGATTAACTTCAAAATAAATAATTATCTAGTAAAAATGACCAATCAAAATAATTAAATAATATTTTTTTAGTAGACAACAGTTATTTTTTTTTCTCTTTATAAATTATACATTAAAAAGTGCTTCCCTTTTTGGTCCATATCGAATAAAGTGGTTAAAATGGGAAGGACATAATGTGCTTAAATTTTGTCTTTATAGTTTTGGACCAATAATCCTTATAGTTTCTGTCTTCATGAAAACCACATTATCCCTTTTTATTACTAGTACTTATTCTTTTTCATTACAGTATCTGCTTCTTCAGTGGATTAATTTGTTGTGCTTTTGCAGGCAGGCAACTGTTTTCAAATTATTAGAATTTTCATTTTTCTTTGTGATTTAAAATTTTTATTGTTATAATGAACATAAGCATAATAATAATAATATAGTTATATCCTCTTTTTTATTTTTTGTGTGCAGGGTGTTGGTAATGGCAACCACGGCCTGTTTCATCATCGTTAGCAGAAATGACATTCCTATATATGAAGCTGAAGTTGGAGTAGCTGCTAAAGTGTGGTTCTCTTTATTTATTTTATTTTAGTTTCTGTGATTTTCAAGCTTTTTGTTGATTTATGATATTTATTTATATATTTTTTAACATGCTTCTTGCTAGATATTGGTTTTCTGACTATTTAGGTTGATTGACCCATGACCACTCATGCATCAATTAAGTCATGTATGTGTGAGGTTATGCGGTAATTTGATTTATGTTGTGCTTTTTTCAACTGAGTGATTTAAATGCTTATTTGACTCTCGGGCGTCAGCTTGCCTTGTGTAGCTTTGAAAGAACATTGATCTTTTTCTTCATCAAATTTACATCATTTTACAATTTCATGCTCTTGTCACAGAGAGAGGACGCAGCTCAGCTGCATCAATTTATCCTCCATGCTGCTCTAGATATTGTTCAGGACCTTGCATGGACTACCAGTGCGATGTGAGTATATTTTTGTTTGATACATAATCCTAGTTCAAATTTGAGACTTTCACATCGTGATCCTCTTTTGTGCTTCTTGTTCTATATGTTCTTTTTCTTGACATCTTGCTCCTTAACATTTTTATGCAGGTACTTGAAATCGGTAGACAGGTTTAATGAACTTGTGGTGTCCGTGTATGTTACAGCTGGTCATATCCTTCATATATGTGGTTTATTTATTGATGAGATAAAAAAACTTGTATGGCTCTTATTGTTTTGTTCACTTTCTTTTGTTTAATCTTCTTGTTTTGTCCAAATAAATGAAGTACTGAGTACCTCTACAAGGACTACTCAATTTAGTTTGCTTCTTTAATTGTATAATTGTGCCATTGTCCGTGATCTTAAGTCCCTTTTTCGTCACAGGAAGGGGAACAAAATGAAAAAGCCAAGAGTGGAGAACTCTTAAAGCTTACAAACATTCTTTCTGCATTTGGTTATTCTTTTCCTTGACTTATCTTACATACCAGATTGATGTTGCTACATGACTCTCGTAATGATGATGGCATTAAAAGTTTCTTCCAAGAGGTGCACGAGCTTTACATAAAGGTTATATGCTTTTTCTTGCTCACCCAATAACATGTTTCATATGTAGCCTTTCCTTTCTTTGTCAGTTTCATATATAGCTTTTTCTATTCTACAATATGCTTCTCTTGAAACGGGATTATGAGAAAGTTCATGTTTACCAGTTCCTTGAAGCATGCTTGCTGACTATACAAATTATCTATAGCTGTTAAAAATCTTGTCTTATCATAATGTTGAATGAGCTACATTCTACATTTTCCCCTAATTACTGATTCAACGTTTCACGATAATAGGTATGCTAAATTACCTTGTAGATACTTGGCACATTATTGACAACTAGGATGACAATTGACTAACCGGAATTTTGAAGTTATATAGAAGTTTACAGAAATCCACCCTAATGGTTACTTTTCGGTAGTTGAAGTTTAGGGTTTAGGACAGTTTCATTGTTATGTGAGAGGGTGTGATTGGGAACACTGCTATCATTATAAGAAGTTGAGAAGTTGAAATTATTAATTGTCCTCTTAATTTAGAAATGAAAATAAGTGGAAATCTAATGTTAAATCTTTTTGTAAACTTCATTTAAGGGTTATGAATTGTTGAACTGGAAAGAGATGAAGTAACTCTATTGTTTGTTTGGGAAATTGCAGATTCTCCTCAATCCCTTGTATTTGCCTGGCTCCCGGATCACGTCCTCACATTTTGATACTAAAGTCCGAGCTCTTGCACGAAAGTATTTGTAGAAATCACTAACGTTTCTGTGGTAGCTAATTCATATAGCACTATGGCTTGAGTCTTGTTCATTCTTAATTAGATTGCAAAGCTCTCTCTTTTTCATTTTATCCATGATTTGGCAGCAAGGGTAAGTTTGCTCTTGTCTTTACTGTACCTCAGTCATTAGCAGGTGGTTGTTGATTTTGCTAATGAAGGCTATTGTCGAGAAACTATTCGATATTTCGAGTACTAGTGGCTACATTTGTAATACATATTAATCCTGTACTTAATGCTCATTTTATTTTGTGGTGAAAAAAATTGATTTTTTATTCTTTATGCTTCATTATTAATGAAGTCAATTTCTAAATTATTCCCACCAAATTCATATAGATTCGTTTTCATTTTGATGGAAAAAAAATCAAGTTGATCCATAAGGTGGAGTTTGGGTTGTTTTAAGATGGCAAGAGTACAGATAGTTAGAAATTAAGTCATTATTGATAGTTAGAAATTAAGTCATTATTCTCGGTTTTGTTGGGTTTCGAGTTTTTTGTTTTTGACTTGTTATATATTATTTAAAAAAATAATTATATTTATAATAAATTAATTTTTATATTTTATATATATATAAATATTTGTAATTTTATTATTTTGTAATTATAATTATTAATTAAGTTATATTTTAATTTATTATATTTATATTAAAATATGCATGTAAAAAAATATTTAATTATTTTTTTATGTAGATATAGAATGTTTATATTATTATTGTTGTTATTAATATTATATATTATAATCTTGTATTTAAATATTTAATTACAGTTAATTATTTTTTAAGTTATTATTTTAAAATATTAATAAATATGAAATATATAGTTTATAAGAAAATATTTAATATATTAAATTTTATTTAATTAGTATAAAGTAATAAACGTTTTATTTGTTAATTTTTTTGAATTAAAAAAATATGACATGATAAAATATAATAAAGATAAATTAGAAATAAAATAATATTAGATATTTTTAAGATTAATGTCCAATATTTAGAGGAAGATAACAAAGAAGAAAAATTAACTTTAGGTTTGTCAACTTGACATAAGAGACTGAGAAAACAAATTGATTGAATATTAAGAAGTAAAAGGAGAAAAAGAATAATTTAATGACTAATTTGTGGTCGGAAATATTAGAAAAGAAAAAAAATGAAAAGTGGGTAAGATGAAAACAAAGTGTAATTTGAAAAAGAAAAGAAAATTCTTTAAAAGGATTAATAATTTAAGATTTAGATTTAAATATAAAGTTGAGATGATAATAAAATTGAGATTTCATTATCGATTTTTCTCTCCATCTCGATTTTTTAAAGCTAGAAAAAACTTGAACTCATATCTCATAAACTTGATTTTTCCTCGTCAAACTCGTAATGATAATATATCAGATGTAGTAATGTAATTGTCATCCCTAGTACCTCGATTTCATATTTAAATATAAATATGAAAATATAAATATTTTAAAAATATTTTTTTCTTTATCATATTATATATAAAGTCATTTTCTATATTTCACTCTCTTTACTTTTTTTTTTTATCCACTTTTTACTCTTTTTTTTTCTTTTTTAACATTTTACATCAATCCATTCATTCATTATATTATTCTTTTTATTTTACATTCTTCATATTTTTTTAATCTCTTTAATAAATTTGGTTTTACCACACTCTGCAATTAATTTGATAAATACAAAGCTAATTTTTCTTTCTCTTTATTTTTTTTCTAAATATTCTATCTGATTTATTTTTATTACATTTTATTAGGTCATATTTTTCTAGATTTCATTATTCTTATTTGTCATATATTAAATTTTATTTTAATAAAAAATTTGTATTTATAAAAATTAAAAATAATTAATAATTAAAATTTTATTAAAACTAACTTACTACATATTTTTTATAAATTATATATTTTATATTTATTAATATTTTAAAATGAGAAATTAACAAATAATTCTATTATATAGGTAATCATCTTTAAATACAATATTATAATATATAATAATAATAATAATATTATTATTATTATAATAATAAGTACTTTATATTCATATTAAATATTTTTTTACATACATATTTTAATATAAATATAATAAATTAAAGTATATATTTAATTAATAATAATTAAAATTATAAATATTTATTTTTATATAAAATTATATTAAAAAATTTAAATTAATTTATTATAAATATAATTATTTATTTAAAAATAATGTAAAACGAATACTGATGGAAAATAGAGAATCCCAAAATCTAACAAAGATGGAGACCAAAACTTTTGAAAAAGTCTAAGAATAAGTTTTTCTTTTTTGACTAATTTCAAAATGTTATCACTATTAACCTCGTAAAGGACTGTGGTGGTAATATAAATAAATGAATTTAAAATTTGATTTGAATTTTTGAAAGTTTAATATGATAATAAAATTTTTGTTTGCCTCGTTGAAGTATTTACTTTTTGTCCCTCTGTATCTTTGTAAGGTTACTTTTCTCATCAAGCTATTGCGGTAACAACGTAGGATCAGAAAACAAGGAAGCTGCTGGTGAACAATGTTTGATTTGGATTTGCTTTTCTGTTCTGTTTTGTTCTTTTACAATGTCTTTCCTCCTAAACAAACACAACATAAGTGTTCCTATTTGGTAGGTGCCCCTGAACAAACACAGGTTTTATAAATTTAAACATTTCATAAAGAAAATAATTAAGATGGGTGAAAAATTAAAGTAATTTGCCATTTCTAAAATAATGATAGTTATTTGACATTTCTAAATGAATAATGATTAACAAATAAAAATTAAATTTCTTACTTTTAAACCAGGCGTTATTTGTTCAAACTATTTTTAAATAATTAAGCAATGTGGAGTTTGTCAACAACAATAGCGTAGATTTTTATGTGAACTTATTTAGGGACAACTTCGTCATTTACTTGAAGACTTCTCACATACATTTAATTTACCATGCAAAATTAATGTTCTTCTATCCACGCTCACAGTACATAAAGAAAAGTACTCTTACACATTTTTTTAACATCCCCGTTAAAATTACAATATTTATTTATCTTATTATATATTATTTTATTAATATCTTTTATATATTATTATTTTATAAATACCTTATGTTATAATTTTGGATAATTTGTTTATTTCTTTTGTTTTTAATTTAGTTACAATTGCTTTTATATCTGCCAATTTAAATTTTGTTCCGATCCTCAAAAATATGTTTACTACTTTGGTTTATTCTGAAGTCAATTTAGCGTCAGTACCTAATAACACTTGGTGATTAGATTTAGGTACAACTACTAATATCAGTGTTTCTATGAAGGGTTGTCTAAGCTACTGGAAACCAATTGATTCCGAAAGATGGATATATGTTAGAGATGACAAATCGGTAGAGGTGGAAGCTATAGGACATTTTAAATTGTTAGAGTACTAATTTTTATTTGGATTTGAAAGACACTTTCGTTGTGCCGTCATTTAAATGGAATTTGGTTTCAATTTCTTATTTGGACAAATTAGGTTATTTATGTTCATTTGGAAACAATAAGTTCAGTTTGTCTTTTAATTCAAATATTGTTGGATCTGATTCACTTTTGACTTATGATAATATGTATTTACTTGATATTGTGACCACCTATAATGAAACCCTTAATACAAAATCACGTGGTACTAAACGTAAAATTGATAAGACTCACTTAGGTGCATTATGACACAGGCGCTCGGGTCACAATCTAATCGTGACACTTGAGCTTGTGCTACACTCTTAAAGATATGGTAAGGAGTATGATTTGTCATTCCATCTTACCGAAATCACTCTAGGGAGAGACATTAAAGACGACAACTTATATTCTAAATAGAGTACCAACTAAAGCAGCTACCAAAACACCTAATGAGCTTTGGACTGAGCGACAACCTAGTCTAAAGCATTTCCATATGTAGGGTTGTCTAGCTGAGGCAAAGCCTTATAAGCCAAATGAAAAGAAATTGGACTCTCGAACAGTAAGTAGTTATTTTATTGGTTATGCTGAAAGATCCAGGGGATATAAATTTTATGATCCCACATTAAAGACAATTTTTTTTAAACAGAAACTACTAAGTTTTTTGAGGACATTGAGTTTGGGGGAAAGAATAAGATTAATAACTTTATCTTGGAGAAAGAATCGGTAACAAGTCCAGAACCAATTCAAACAGTTACTTTTGATAAAGTAAGTTTGGAACCTACACAAGACATTGATAATGAACCCCATACTCAAGATGATTTAGCGGTTTGTCAAGAACAAACTCAAGATCCTCAAGAACCTGTGCAACATGAGCCAGGGATACTCTAGTTGCTAAGAGAGACAAGTTTAGTCTCAATCAGTGTCCAAAGGAGAATTTGGAAATTGAGAAAATACAGAAGATTCCCTATGCATCATCTATAGGGAGTTTGATGTATGCCCAAGTATGTACGCGTCCAGACATGACATACATAGTTGGGGTTCTAGGCAGATATTTAAGCAATCCAGGAATGAACCATTAGAAAGCAGCAAAAAGAGTCATAAGATATTTAAAGAGAACAAAAGATTATATGCTCACATTCCGGAGGTCATATCAGTTGGAGATCGCTGGGTTTTCTGACTCAGACTTTGTAGGATGTCAAGATAATTTGAAATCCACTTCAGGTTACATTTTCATGTTGGCAGGTGGTGCGGTTTCTTGGCGCAGTGTCAAGCAAACCCTTACAACCTCATCCACTATGGCAGCAAAATTTTTGGCATGCCTCATAATAAATCAGATGTATTGTTAAAGAAAGAGTACAGAGTAGAAAAATTTCCATAGAACACTTAAGGACAAAATCCATGATAACAGATCTTCTAACTAAAGGACTTCCGCCCAAGGTCTTTCATGAACATGTTGCTCACATGGGTGTTTTACAGTTTGAGGAATTTGTGGTTTAGTGGGAGTTAGTCATTTTCATATATTTTATGTTCTATGTTTATTTTCATGTATATATACATTGATTTTTTGGACATATTTGGTTATCTATAGATATGTAGTTTTTCGTTCATTCATTACACTTTGTACATTAAAGTTATTATATCAATCTCGATAAGTTAAAGTTTGGACTAGTTGAAAATAGACATGTACAGATCACTTTCACATAATTTTCATGCTACACATTTCATGATGAATCCATGTCATTTGGTTATGTCAAGATTAGTAATCATTATTGGTTTTAGTTGCGATGATGCAATGAAAAGCTGGTTTGG